GTATATAGAATTAATATAGAGGCATGCACCTTATAGCGGCATATATATCCGCTACTATAATTAGCTAAAATTTTAATTATTAGTGCACTTAAATTCTACTATATTTTTTTAAAGTACTTATCTATTTTTATAATACGAACATACCTTAAAGGAGCTTTATTACGAAGCTCTTATTAACGTGTTTTACGTCCCCTTCTTATTAAAGCCGCACTAGTCTAGAGGTACGCTAGTATATTAATTTCTTATTAATATTTTTAAAGTCGCCCTAGTTTAGATTTTTAAAATTTAAATAGGTCCTTTTTATTACGGCCCTACGAACTTCGTAACTAATACGCTATAGAATAGCTCCCTTAGTAATTTACGTACCGAACCTGCGTTACTAAGCTCTAGCTAATAGCTCAGAGAATCTAACCCGTCTTATAAAACGTAAACGCTCTAATAATAATATATTATTATTATCTCTTATTTTAGATAGTAGCTATTTTAGTATTAATTAGTTTTATAAAGTTAGCGATCCCTATATATATAGTAACTTAATAAACGACCTATTACCCGAGTTATTATAAGAAATATAACTATTATTTTACTATCTATATTAATATATTAGAATAGAACTAACCCTCTATTTTAATTATAAATTCCTTAATAGAACCGATACTTTTTAGTTTTTTAGTATTCCCTAATTCTTATTAATACGCAGTCCTTCCCTTTTTAATAAAAAGTTTAAATAGCTTATATTTTATTTTACGCACCGTTTTTTAAAGGGGATATAGATTACTTAGTATACTACCCTCTCCCGAATATTACTAGAGCCTAGTCCCTCTCCTTTTTTTAATAAATCTTAATAACCTACCTAGCTTATTATAAAATAGTTTAATAATATTCTTTAGCTTATTATACGAGTTATTAAGACTAATAAAAGGTTAATAACTAGCCTTATTTAATAATATAAGTAAAGCCGTTTATAATAAAAAACGTAGGGTTTTTAAACGAACTTACTACCCTATTTACTTCTATAACAAAACCCTCTTTTAAGTCTATTATCTTTTTAAACCGTAGCTTTTTATTATACTTAAAATAATAAATCCTCCTCCCCTCTTTTAGATAAAACCCTAAATTTACCGATCCTTAGTAACCTAGAGCTAATAATAAATACTTTTTTTAATCGAGTTAATACTTTTACTAAAGTTAATAAGTTTAGTATTATAAAACGGTATAAATATATATCTCGAATAGGTCGGCTTATATAATACTTATTCTAATATAATCGATTTAATAAGCCCAGTCCTTTAAAAAGTATAAGTATTAAATAGTATAAGTCTTAGAAATACGGCTACTAATAATAAGTAATTATAAAAGCGTAAGAAGAGGGTAAGTAGCTATTACGTTATTACTTAGACCCTTAATATAGTTAATATAACTACGGCCCTAGCCTCGGAGTATTTATATACCCTTCTTATTATAAGCTTACTTAGCTAATTAAGGATACTATTAAAACTATAAGCTAATAAGTTAGAATTCGGGTACGTAATATACGTACTATTATCTAAAAATAATTCCTAGAGGCCTTATTTACTTAGTAAGATATTTATAATACTAGAGCCCGTATTAACTAAGAAAAATTAAATAGATATTTATTAATAACGGTATTAATTAAGCTATTTAATAAACGAGGGATCCTATATATCGTTAAGTAAGTAGTTAATAAGCCTAATTACTTAATTAGGCTTATTTAGACTTTTTCTTATTATTTTTAAATATAAAAGCGGTTCCTTAAAGTAATTAGCTTTAATAATATATATAATACTAATTGCTTTAAGCTCCCTCTTTTTTAAGTTACTAAGTAGACCTATTTTAGATCTATCTATAATATAATATTTAGTTTTATTAATAACGAGAAACTAAAAGGGTTTTAGTTCTTTTTAATAAGCATCCGTTAACTAATTAAATAATACTTAATCTACTAGCCTTCTATTATTATTACTAACTACGATAAGTAAATAAAGACTATATTTAATAAGTAGTTTCCTAAAGTTTAGTAATAACTCTATATTTACTATATTAACTCTAATATTATACTTAAGGCTAAATAGAAGTAGATTAAGGACCCTAGTTATAATAATAATAGTAATAGGTTTAACGATAATAATTATTAATTAATTATATAAGTAATAGCCGAGCTTAGTAATAAAGACCGTGCTTATATTAATATAATAATAAATTAAGCTATTCTATATACTTATTACGGGGTATTAATTATATAAAAGCTTATTATCTTTACTAAAACGGAGCATACTTTTAAAAAAGCCTAGACTAAGTTCTATAAAAAGTTTAATAATTAATACTTAATTTTCTAGTACTTTTACGTAATATACCTATTTTTAAGAATATAATAGGCCCGTTATTCTATTTAAAAATATTAAAACTTTAGTATTCGTATTACTTCTAGTACTAAGTTAAGTAATAATAATATTAAGGGCTATTTTTTAAATAGTCTTAGTTATTTATATTAGCTTATTAACGTTATATAAGATATAATTAGTAATTAAGAGCTATGTTTTTATTAAGCTTATATAGAAGACGAGGTACTTATAAGCCGGGAGTATATAAGTACTTGCTTTAAGTACCTAAGTAAACTTCGAATAATACTTTTTTTAAAGTATTTTACCTTAATTAGGACGTAAGGCCGGCTTATAAAAAAGGTAATACTATCTAGTATAAGGCTATTTTTAGCCCCCCTCGGATCTTATAGTCTAAACTATACTATTTTAATTAAGCTAAATATCTTATATTACTATAAAATCTATTTTAAAATATTAAATTTAGCTATTTTTAATAAGTAAGAAGTATACCCTCAGTAGCGTTTTTAAAAAATATCTTTTTTAAATCTATACTACCGGATCCTTAACCCTAAGATTACTACGTCTTTTTATAATAAGCTAAAGAATAAAATATAGCCTATTTTATTATAATTAATATTATTTAAAAAAGGCCGGTTAACTAGTTAAGCTTATACTACTTATAGTAGCTAAAGTATTAGTAATAAGAAACGAGGCCGCCTATTTAAGAATAAAAATAAGTTAACGCTAGCTAGGCTTATAAAAAAAATAAGTTAGCTAAGTTAAAGCTAAATATTAAGCTTATCCTAGTAATAAATAAGGAACTAGTTTAGCGTTCTTAATAAGGGGAGGATAACGGGGAATTATATAAGTAAATAGTTAATATAGCTTAGTATTTAGAAGAAACGGAGCTAATAAAAAGTAGTTTATAGTAACGATAAATTATTATAACTATATTAGAAGAGGTAGTTAAGCAGACGTTACTATAATTTACTCTCTATATATTTTAAGTATATAATAAAAAAAAGCCTTATTTATTTAAGATTTATAAAAGCTTAAATTACTAGTTTATTTAAGATTTATAAATTTTAAATAAGTAATATAGCGGTTCTGAAAAAGTACGTAGGTTATAGTAGTATTCTTATTTTTAAAAATCTTAAACTAGAGCTTTAAGTTAGAGAGGATAGTAAGAATAGCTATATTAGTATAGTTACCCTTACTACTTTTATAGGGAGGTACTGTTTTTTTAGACTAATTATAGTAGCGGATGCGCATGCTGCTATAAGGTATATACCTCTATATTAATTCTATATACCTCTTTATTAATTCCCTTCTAATAATAACCTCCGAACCATACAAATGCCAAGGAACCAAACATACACGCATAAAACTAATAACAGTTCGGATTGCCTTCTTTTAACGAACCGTTTGGTCTTTTAAAAGTCTTTACTTTTCGCGCCACTGCCTCCCTACTTGTGTCTAAGACTGTAGAGAGTGAACCGCGACGCCCGAGACATTCAGCTAGAGCCATCAGGCCTGCAATTAACTATGGGCATCATTTACCATGTCTCGCCCTTGCGAGATATTTGCTCGGTACTCACGCATCCAAGAGTCCAGACCAGCCTCTCTCGTGAACCGCGTATCCCAACTCAGCACGGTCTGTGAATTTCGTAGATCGGTAGGGATAGGCTTGGAGCCCCGTTCACGGCTCACGGTTCACCGGACATGACGTAACGGGGCTGACGCAAAGTATTGACACCAACAGGTAAAGATGGTAAGGTGCGCTCACTCAGCAATCCGGAGGCCGGGACTATCGAGTTTAATGAGCATACGTTGTCAGTGAGGTGAGCACGCCTTGATTTGCTTCAATAATCTTTTCGTAGTGTTGTCACTGCCCACAGTCGATCAACGCGCGTCGAGGAAGGATCTGCCCGAGCCGCCAACGAACCCGTCCCGTAGGCCGGGAGTTGTCTCATTTGGCGCCAAGCTAACCGGAGAACTGGGCGCTTACGTCAGCGCAGTTCGTCCATCGCCAGCCTGTCGTATCTGTGCCGTCCACCATTTGTACGGCACGGGTAGAGCTCGGAGGAGCCAGACTCGATAGGTGGTGACTGAGCCCTGGACGTTGCATTGCTTTAGCTCATCGACACAGTAATAACCAAGTGTAGGCGGAGGCTGGGAATTTCGTATCCCGCCGTGTTTTTGCTTCGTCTCGAGCTTCGGTCTCCGACGTGATTGGATCAGAAAAGCCCTATTCAACAGGGCGGAGTTGTGAAGGGTAAGCGCTTTCGTGGAGAAGCCCAGAAAATACAAGATACCCTCAGATACCTAATTCGATTCGTTTTCGCAATTCCACAGCCAGTTGCTGTTTGCCAAGGGCCCAACATATGATACTCGCCTTCCGGTTGGCTTTGCCAATGTAAACGTCCTACCACTACTCCATACACCTAGGCTCATCTTTCACCACTCTGGACTTTTGTGCGGATTCCGAGTTCGCCTTGCCGCCTTTCAGCGGAGGGGTCGAGATTTGACTGCTCGGGGTGGGACAACAACCCTTGCCCCCGGCCGCATGGCAATGGATCCCAGAAGAGGGGGGCAGAATATTGACGCATGCGGGAACACAGGGGCCCTCGTATGGACCCTTCAGTTCGATTTCCTTCAATGTCCGCGTTTTCGGAATACCTGCGTGAACTTTGCTACGGCGGTCAGGAAGCGGGCAGCGCGCGGCGGAGGAGTCTCAGAAAGCGGTCGACATCGACCAACAAGTCAATGACTACGTACGTGGGCTGGATCTGTGGGAGAGAGAGAGAGATGGAGCCACTCGTCCGATGTAATTCGTGCCTAACTTTATGCTTTGAATTCGTACAGATGATGCACAGAGCAGTACAACATCCTTGCGTTCTGGTTTGGAGGAACCTATCAATGCATACCTACCAGCGATGACGGGGGGAGAGAACGCCCGGTCTGGCGGTTTCACATCGGACACAATTCTGACGGCAGATCTCACCGGAAGACAGTGTAAACGGCGGCAGCAAGCCCTCCCCTCCAACCAAACGAATGGCCGGCCGCCGCAGCTATGTCGCTGACTGTTCGTACGGATACGCTGTAAGTCTGTGTCCCGTACCCGTACGATTAGAGAGAAGAACAATCAAGAGAAACAGGGGGATCACGGCCGGCGTCAACGGCCCCTCTTCGAACCCTTGGGAGACCCCCTCTTCTACTCCGTACGGATACACACGTATGGATAATGGATGTCGATGCCCCAGCTCTTCGGAGTACTCGACCCGCCCTGGGAGGACCCAGTTGGTCTCCTTTGGCGCCAGCAACTCAATGAGGCAGGCGCATCAAAGTCGGCGAAATCATGCCATGCTGGACAAAATCTGCCCCGGAAATACTTGTTGGCGAGCGGGCTCGCTGCGTTCTCGCTCCGAGATTGAATAGGGTCACTTGGGGTCCCTGCGATCGTGGTCCACGGGTTAGTCGATTCCTTTGGGTTACTGACCCTCAGCTGGGGTTCCTGAACAACCACGGAAGAGGTGGCAGAAAAGCCCAGGAGCCAAGTCGGCACTGGAGTTCCTTGGATACTTTCTTACTTTACAATTGCCGCCGTGTTGTACGTCTCACAGACGGACGGTATTGGGTATGTCTTGCTAGTGGGACGCGAACCTCTGAGAAGTGAGGACAAGAGCGGTAAACTCAAGGTTACAGATGGCCATGAGGCCGTGTTGAAGTGTCTTGTAATCGGGATCAAGAACCAACCTTGAACCAAGATCTCCGGCAAAATGGCACTCTAATGCTTGAGGTCACCGATAGCCAGGGAGTTTAGCTATAGAGGAAGATACTAGGCATAAGTAGATATCTGTATCGACCTAAGCACTAGACGATACAGGGAAGGAGGAGCTTTGTCGGATAAGGTTCCTCAAGTACCTAACCACACGTGGTTCATCGGGCCGGGGAAAGACGCTGTAGCTTTGGAAGACTATTAGATTCCCTTCCGTAACTAAAAGATCATGGAGTTTAGAGAGAAGCCAACATTACTTGTAAGAACTGAAACACAGTTCCCGGCCGACACTGGAAGATCGAGTAGGACCTTGTGATGACGATAAGATGTTCCTTGTTAGAAAGTGATGTTCTAGTATGGACTTATGGCGAGTCGCGACTGGGTGGTCAGGACGGATCGCCAAGCCAGCAAGGGTAGGTACACTCTCCCTCCCGCGACACTGGCTGATTGCAGCTGTTTGGAACATGTCTCCCTACGGAGTACTTTGCCCACATTACAATTACCGTGCTCGTAATTCCATGACCACCATTGACTGTCATGGGCATGCGGAATTCGATTCTGAAAAAGGCATACGTAGCGGTGCGAGGCAGGCCGCGAGGCAGAGATATCATGTCAAATCTCCAACGGAACTCGCAAGGGCGACCGACACAAGAACCGAGACCGAAGCGGACATTACTCTTGCGGTGACGGCCGAACCGGGTGGTTCTGTCACTTTGTGAAGAATAGCGGCGGCGACGGCGGGCGGCGGGCGGGCATCTGACAACTCAACTTGGGGGCCCAAACAACAATGCTCTCTCTCGCGAACGTGACACCCGACAACCCCGATCGCTTTCTGCGGGCACCGCATGACTTGCGATCCTCCGTCCCAAAGAGAGATAGGCTACGGCTACTGGTTACGGAGAGTACTGGCTCTCCAAATCTCCAACCACTTGACTTTTTTTTTTCTTTGCACAGCCACGCGGGACTCATGACAAGTGCGGTAGGTGAATCAGAAACTCCATGGTTAGACTAGCTCCGTCTGTCTTTATGTACAAGTTGCGACTTTACTTCGGGATGCACGGAGTTTTAGCCTGGACGCCCAGCCCTGCTTCCTAGCTACAGCCTACAAGCAAGTGAGCAGAAGCAGAGCTTCCTAACAGAAAGCGTTCGGCAATGATTTGCACCGAACATATGATATCTTCAGAATAGAGACAGTTGAAGAAGCCAGTGAGCAGAAAGAACCTGAACCATACTGCGTAGGTCTATCCGTTTCGGTTCATCCCCCCCTTTTGGCCCCCAAAACCTAACCCAGCCTCTTTTTTCCAAAACCTGAAGCCCTCCACGTTCTGGAACAAGACGTCAGGTGGTGCCTTAATCCGTCCCAAGTAGCCCCAGCCCACGCGCAAGAGCCACGGTGTGTGGCCCAGGGGGAGGATCTGGTGTGGACTCGTGGATCGGGCAGGTGGCGCATCTCCCGGGGCTCTTTTCTTGCCCCCTACAACGGCGCATCATACTGTGGTAGACCGTCGAAGAACCAAACTCCCTTGCCTCTACAAGCAAAGAGTTAAGACGAGACACTGGGAAACGAGGTTTATCTATACGAAAGAAGGAAAACACACAAACAGAACAGTTGAGAATAGTCCAGTAGACGCAAACAGGAGTGTCGGAACAAAGACTACGGGATATCTCTCACCTCGAACTTGACAACTTTCACACCGCATCGAAAAGAACGGATACATTGTCCCGAGATATCTCACGGATAAGACCTCTTGTCTAGACCACCACCCCAACCCCAACAGCCTGCCCCGGCACGGATCACGAATACACCGGCGCCTGCGCTGTCAGATCCCTAGTCCGCTACTAGTGCGCCTTACCTTATTCACTCGTACGGGTCGACTGGTTAGCCAAGGAGTTGCGAGTTGCAAGCTAGGCGTCCCGACCTCGCATTTATTTCGTTTGGAACCGCCCACCTCCCCCATCTGCATGCAGTGCTCCGGTCGGTCCTCAGCCAGGCGATCGCCTCATCCACCCGATCTCTTTCTCTCTACGTAGAGTCTTGTCCACTTGCGAAGTTGTGTGGGTGAGAGGGAAGGCGTTGCGCGTCCACCCACCCCATTACCCCTGCTTGGGAACAACAGTGGTACGCTAGACCTACGGACCGCCGCACCCTGGCACGTTTTTTTCTCGACGAGCTAAGGTATCGACAACTGCAACCGCTGTCCAGTTGCTCGCGAGTTGTCGAACTAGTGAGTTGGTAATAACTCGCTGTTGTGTACGGAGTACGGAGGAAGTATGGAGTAGCGCCGAAGCCACTTCCCATTGCGCCGGCGCCAGTCGTTTGGTTCGATTCGAGACTTCCCGTCTTACACGCTTTTGCGCCCTCTGTTGCATCCTATTATTTTTTTTGCGGCTCAGCTTGTCGTACCTAGGCGCCAGAGCAGTGTTTACGACGAGACCACCCATGGCACACACAGTCTCGAGGACCGAGTCGGAAAATGGCTGGGCTGGGCTGGGCTGGGGGGGGGGGGCCATGGGGAAAAGAGACTAAGAATGAGCAGATGCCGATGCACGCAGCAACGCATCCCATCGATCCCGTCCAAAAGAGCACAAAATACCAAGACCCTAAGCCCGCAGAGCCCGGATGCTGGCTCGTCTTGGCAGGCCAAGGGCTTGGATTTTCCGTGTGTCTCTCGACGAGTCGACGGTCAACCTCTCTGAGCCCCGAAAGGCGGATCAAGGAACCTTGACGTGCTGCGTCGTCCGGCTCATCCGCAAGCTATTGAACTTTTTGGGGCCGGGGGAGAGAGAGAGAGAGGTAGGTATGTATCTGGAAGTACCTTTTGACCGCATTCATCGTCTCCTCTCTTTTTTATTCTCCATCTATCCAGCCATTTACTTTCATGATTGAACAGTATACGTAGGCATGTGTTATCCCTTGCAGGAAACCCAAGAGGAGTCGGTAAAGTGAAAGAAATGTCTTGACTGCAGCTGGAGCAACAGAGACAAACGAAAAGGAAGTCAGAAGAAACAAGGAAAGGGAATCAAGCACAACTTGAAAAGTTTCGAAAAAACCGGGAGGTCGAAGAGGCTAAAAAGACAACCGAAGAGAACTAGCAACGTACCCCAAAGGCCCAAGGTGGAAGGCCGGCTCATAGTGTTCTCCATAAAGTTCCCACCTCACAGACGACAGTAGTGACAGTCCACAATCAGATAGTGCGGCGCTTGTCGGGGGAGACTAAGCACCGCCGACACCGAAAGAGTAGCGGGAGAGACAGAGTCATCAACATCATCATCGTCGTCGTCGTCGTCGAGATCACGGCCGCCCAGCCCAGCCCGAGCGACCGCCAGAGCCTGTGCGTACGCAAGGACGGCAGCAAGGTAGACAGCACAGCAGACCCCCCGGCATACCCAACGCCATTACGTCGTTCGGGCTCTTGTTCCCGGGGGAAGGGCCTTGGTGTGTTGCTGGTCGTGGATTGGTTTGGGACGGGCCTAGCCCCGTTACCGCTGCGGCACTCTTTCTACTACGGATACACACGGTTTACTCAAATGTTCCGGGGCTTTTATTCACAGGAAAGTTACAAAGTACAACTCACCGCAGCTTGATCTGCCCGCTGAACCTGGCTCGAATGGGGGAGTCTTGAACCTGTTGGAGACTTCTCTGGGTCACCTGTGTGCCTCACCTTGCCTTACCTTTGAGCTGATCTTTCTGGTCTGGTTTCTGCTGGACCGGGACCTTGACCTGGGAGTCTGGGACCAGCTGCCAAACTGCTGCTACCTTGCTGCAGCGCACCCGACTGACCTGCGTGACGGTGACGGTGACTGGGTACGAGAGAAGAGTGAGGAAACAGCAGGTCGCAGAAGTAGGCGGTGTTGCTAATTCTTGTTGCATAATACGCCTCCGTACGTAGGTACCTCACTCACTCCCCGTACTCCCGGAGGTACTCCCGTACTTGGTACACCTCCCAGAGTACCTCTCAGAGTTCCTCTCAGAGGTACGCCTCGTGCTTGGGGGTCTTTTTTGACACGTTCCCGTCGTTTCCATGCTCTCTCCATCCATCCATACCTACCTTACCTACCTTACCTTGACACTCACTCCATACTCGCTCGGGTACGGATTCATACATCATCTCGGGGATTCTCCTACCTTTTTCAGACTTTCTTCCCTCTTTCTGTTTTCCTGGTTTCCGATTTCCTGGTTGTCCTGCTCTTCGATCCGTCTCGTGTCATCTCGAATCTCTCTCTTCATCGACTACACTTAACCTCCCTCTAACACCAACAGCGCTGAGACACGTACATACATACAGACAGACGGAACCCGAAGATACCCATGGCTGAATCCTAATCGCTGCCCGTCCCGAAACTTCGTTACTTGTTCGCCTGGGTTCCTTTATTCGTTCCATCATCCATATTAATTCCACCTTTTTTGTGCTCGCCGCGCAAAGAAGTGTGTGCTTCGTCGGTCAGTCGGATCTTAAGATTACCTTGGAGACCGCGCAACCTCCCTCCCGGCCGCCGAGTCACCCGTAATCGTACGGACACAGCACTGCGTATTGCGTACTGCGCACAGCTCGTCCGGCCATTACATCGCATCGCATCCACTACCACCACACGATAATCTTAAAGCCGGAGAGATCCACGAATCCAACGAACGACCTTCCAGTCTCTCACTCGCCC